TTCAAGATGTATTTCTAACGTAATAAGAAATATTTATTTGCCGAAAAGCAAAAATTTAATTATCAAATAAGAAATCAAAGATTGTTATTATCGTTAAAATTACTAATTTAATAATTTTTTAACGATTCGGGGGTAAGTTTAAAAAATTTTTTCCAATCAATTTTTCCAAAATGAAATCCAGATTTTATTCAAGAACAATTTTCGTTTGCCATTACAAATGGTACGAAAAAATAATGTTATATTTTATTTTAATAACATTATTATAATGGAATCAAATGATGAATGGCAAAAATGAAAATTTCTATTTGCGATAATTCGCAGCAACAATCATTTATTTTCGTCAAGATCTTGTTGTGTAATTAATCTTTGTTATTAACAGCACAATGCAAACTTTATGCACGCTTCCAACAGTGATTTACAACTTTTTAAAATAAATTAATTCAACGCAAACATTGAGAGAAATCACCGGTGATATTTTTGATAAAATCAAAAAATCATTTGCGAAAAATGGCACAACTATTTAACTGATGACTTCGTCTCTCGCATTTGATATTTTTTTTTTTTTTTTCAGTACGCGATTGTGTACACCGATACATCATCACAAAATAAAAACATTCGCTCGCATTGAATATATTAAAAAAAAAAAATAAATAAAAAAAAGAGTAATATTTTATACTCTCTGATAACCACAATCGCAAGATTTGATCGTGGATTAGAAGATAATGGGTCGGGACTTCCGTGTTTTCCGCCACACGCTTCATTTCAGACTGCAATTCATAAGAGGGAATACACGAGAGCGATACGTATCGGGCGCATTAACGGTCGAGCCACGTTCTATGATCGCATCTTGCGTCTACGTGCATCATCCTTTAGCGCGCATTAAACGCGATCAAGCAACGGTTACGTGTACGAACGCAATTTATGCGCGAGAGGCTGGCTACGTTGTAGGCGTTATATCATCGGAGACAGGGACCGAGCTAGGCTCGTGTACTCGCCGTGGGTAAATAATAAGCGAAATAAGAGGGAGCTCGATTCGTGTAGGAAGTGTGTAACACCAGGTGGAATACCGCGAAACACGCATCGGTTCAAAGTTAGAAATGGTATATCAATGGTATATAATATCAGATTTTCAAACTAGGTTTTATGGTCAAGTGCATCTGTTTTTGGAAATTATGGACTGTTAAACATCTGTGTAAATTGTTCTGAGGTTTTTCCCTTCTTCTTCAAAATTTAGGCATTCCTCCCTAATTTTCGAAAATCCAGAAAATTTGATGTGGACAAATATAGATATACGAACGACGTAAAGTAGAAATTACGGATCGATGGATTTCAAGCGAACAACGTAACGTAAAGGAAAGATAATAGAAATCTTTTTATTACATACGATAGAAAAGGTATACACATTTCTAATAAATAATCACGCGAATACGGAGTGATTTTTTAGCTTTTGCTATTGGATTTTAAAACAATTTTATCGAGAATAAAATTTCGTTATTTTTAATTATTCACCGATAAATTTCCATTCAAAACTTCTCTTTGTTACATAAAGGCAAATAATCGAAATATTTCTCGTCCCTGTTAAACGAAATATCGTATATAAAACACTTGCATACACACGCACAATATTTCAAGCAAAACTTTCCACGAGACGAATAATTAAAGTAAATATCACGATCGAGTGGAATATCACAAAAGCGTGGCATGCACTTTGCGGAAAACGATCGAATTATGCAAGGGTGGCGGGTATCGAACCGGGCTGGCACAATTGCATCCCATCCGCGTTGCGATACATTATAGCACGAGTTTACACGCGTGGACGGGTCGGCCAGCGCGTAATAAACGCTGAGTTGTCATCAGATACGCGGGATACGGTTTATCAGCGACCGATTAAACGATCCGAGTCGAATCAGAATTGCGCCGTGGTCGATTCGCGTGCCCGGATCTGTTCAATTATAATATTTTATTTATAGGGGATCAGGCTAAGCGCGCGCGCGCCTGTAATTCGACTTGTAATTGCACTCACGATAACACGAAGAAGAAGGTTAATTAATTAATTTCTATTCTTAATTTACGCTCAAATAACGCGATTTATTTCCATTGTTATATAAAATCGCGTCCTGTGAAACACGATGCAAATGCAATCGAATCCGTCGCGTCGTCGTTCGATATTAGAGCGAAATGAAAAAAAAAAAAAAAAGAAAAGAAAAAGAAAAAAGAGAAGGAAAAAGAAAACGTCGAACAAAGTGAAGAGATCCAGAAGGGAGAGACTACTGGCTCGCGAAAATAATGCCCTTCAGTTCTTGCGTTCTCTCACAAAAGGATCTCGCGTAGAGCGAGATACTGGAGGAAATAAAATAGTACTAGACGGTATCTGGGTCACCTTAAAGGGCACACGCCTAGCCGAATTACCGAGGAACAGGGAGGGAGTGAGAGAGTCTGTTCGATTGAACCCAACCCCTTCTAACCGAATCTTCCTAAGTCTATTCCATTAACCGTGCTTCTCCAAGGCTTCGTCTCGATCTTGAAATTTCGATTATTTCGGATGATCGATTGGTCGTGTTATTTGAGATCGAGATCGGATTTGTCTTGTTAGATCTTTGTTAGAGTTTGATGTAAAGTATATCGGATCGTGTCTGTTCTATCTGTTTGAACCATCGAGAGAGGAAAATGGAATGGGAGACGATGGACGAAAAAAATATCGTTTATTATTGTCGGTTCGACGATAAAAAGTTCTTGTATATTTTCTTTCTCCCGTGCTTGGAAAGATAATAGAAATTTTTCGAACGCGGTTGACGTAAGCTTCTGAAAACTGTGTGTGTATAACAGTCGAATGCCGGTGTAATTTATGGAGGCAAGAACATCGCGATAAATCGAAGCGGAGAGGATCGAAAAAGAAAAGGTGAAATCGAGCAGAAGGAAAAATACGTTCCCGTCACGAATATTATTGAATTATGATCTGAAAATATATTGTCGATGGTGAATTCTATTCAACGGATGGAATTTGGATACGAAAGAGAGGCATACATACATACATCGCGGATAATAATTTGCTTTGCACAGTAAATAATATAATCCTTGCGCAACGTAGCGAGAGATAAAACCTGCTTTTATACGTATTGGAAAAATTCCCTTTGTAATTTTTCTTTCTTTCCATTTTTCCAGCGTTGTTAGGAGTAAAGCAGTTGAGGACAAAAGGCAATGCAGTAGATGCAATAAGGCTTAAAATAAGGTTGGTCAGTATGGACAGAATGACAGGCAACTATAAGCAAGAGACAATATTGTGTGTCCAATAAGAAACCTGTCTTATGAGTCTATATTTCTCTGGTTTTACGTAGTTCTGTTCTTAACATTATCCACTGACAACCGTGAACAAAATAAAAGGCCCAGAAGATTTAAGTTTCAAGTTCTTATTTTATTAATTTTGTTGCCTCTAGCTTTCCCCTCAGCATTGCATGACATTTGTGTCTGTAAAAACGTCAGGTTGAATTTATATCGTTCTTTTGTAATGCTCTTTTTGATGCTCCTCTTTGACGTTTTTTCTAACATTCTTATTTAAAAATTAATGTAAATGTTATATTGCTTGATATGTTTCTCAGGTATACATACATATTTGTATGTATTTCTTTCTACTCATTAGATATTACACAATATTCACATTCTAATATTATATACACATTCGTCCAAGTATCATTTTTTTGACGACCTACCTGTCACTATACCTGTCTATACGTTTAACCGTCAAAGTGTTTATTTCTGTTTAATTTTTTGTTACGTGTAATAACGATATTGTTGAATTTGAAACGAAGATGATTCAAATAAAAATGTAATTTTATTTTACAAAGTCTTAAGAGTAGATTGAAATATTTAAATATAGAGGGTATGTAGAAATAAATATTGCATTATGAAATCAAGAAAGAAGGAAAATAATATACATTTGATTGATTCTTTTCCATTTAATCGATTATTTGTTATCCTCAAAACAAAACACGCGAGACCTTCGATTCTTATGATACAATAACCTCGGGAATTTATGATGATTCATTTGTGCAATCAGGGTGAATCATGTTTCAAAGTTAGTTGTACAAATAATACATAAATATCGATTAATCTATTTAAAAATTTATCATTACCTTTTTATATATTCTTCTATATTCTCACAAAATAAATACAGGAAACACGGCCCAAAAAACAGAAAAGATAAAGAACCATAAATAAAGGAAAGAAAATATGAAAATCATAAAAAGCAAACGATATATGCGATTTATGTCACTCGGCGATAAATCAAGATCGTTTATCCGCGAGAAGCCACTCATCCCGTCATCGATCATTCATAACAATAAAACCATTACGATCACGATATTCATGGCAAGTCGGTCGTGTCGGAAAAGAAGATCAATAAATATGTTTCAATTTGTCAAGCCGATCCAAGGATGTCTCATTAACGCCGGAGACGTTCTACTTCCGATCTATATATATATATCCATCGATATCGATCGTTATACTCGAGTACTACCAGATCGAATTCACGGAAAACCGACGACGAATCACGAAGCAATTGATCGAACTACATCGTCCACGTGTTTCTCGGAATATCCACGCGATAAGGCAGGTTTCTCTGTTATCACGAATGCGAAGACGACGCCATCTAACGAACACCCTTGGAAGCTAATAAATCTCCAAGTACGCGCGCCATCTTTCGTGGGGTGATGTAGCCAATTTAGGGGTAATAATTAAAGCGCGTTACCGATTGAGCACAGTCGGTAAGTACGTTGTGCAATATTCGCATGCATATATCGCATCGATTTCATTTACGCTTTCACGAAATTCAAACAGATGGCAAATCTTTCGATTCCGTCTGAGCATGCGCGCGCATATTTGCGGGAATATTTAATTCGATAAACCGCTTACCCCAAGCGTTCTCTTCCAGTAGTTCGTTTTACATTTGCAATTCATTAAAAGAGTGATTTGCGATGCAATGAGATATACATATGAAACATTACCTTGTTCAGAGTATCGTGGCTAGTTAGGATATGCTGACTACCGTCGGGATGTAGGATACGATCGACCGAATTCGGTCTAGGAACTCCATCCAGCTGGCTGGCCTCTTTCAACTGGGGTGGCGACGGCGGTGGTGGCAGCTGCTCCTCTACTCCTCCACCAGCGTAACGGGTCTTCTGTAACCCCAACATTTCATCGTTTAATTATTCCGCCGATCTTTCACATTTTCAGTGACATTCTTAAAAACAACCACCATTTTCCTTTATGGCCATTTCTAAATACTGACGTGCAGACCATCGAAAATCATTCGAAACAATTTATTTCGTCGTAAGTTGGCCGATCTTGATTTACGTTTGACACACGATTTCTCGTGTTCTAATTCCGCATTCGTTTGTTGTTGTTGTGATTGTTGCACTTTCACGATATCGCTCGGTCTAACTTTCGGCACGTTTAGAAAAATCATTTTTCAAAATCGTGAGAATAAATTGAAAATGAAAATGAAAGAAGTACACAACCGATAGTGAGCAAGGTTTTGACTGACGTGCCAGTATTATCGGGTTTCGATATCGATGATGTCGCCACCGAGCTAATCCTCCGCAATCCCGGATTTCGTTTCATTATCACGACCAAGCAAGGCTTCCGAATGCGACGACCGGTCGAGTGGCCAACCACGGCATCAATGATCGAACGTTTATTGAAACCTTTCCGTTTGAAGCGGCGAATATCTTGCCCATACGTGAATAAACGTCGATGTGAATGTCGTCTGTGTGGCTTTAATTCAACGAAACCTATTTAATTGCATTCTTTTCTTCTTTTCACACCTTTTTCATGAATTCTATTCTATTCTATAAAGTTAAATTGTTCGTAAATAACATATAAATTAATAAATTTGGAAGAATTTAAACTGATAAAAATTTTTAATTTTTAATATCGAAATAATTAAACAAAATCGAATAATTTAACGTGTATATTTCGCTATCGTTTCCAGATTTTTTTTTAGAATTTTAAAATATTTTTCACGATATTCTAAAAATCTAAAAATAGATGGTTTTATGATGTTATATATTTTTATAATTATATCAACGTAGTATCGCAAATTTTTTCTGACATCCCGTGTGACGAATAAAACAAATCGATGCAGTTTCCGACTCAATTTACCGAGCGGTCAATTTTTCAGCGTTTAAATGCAACCATGACGATAAATGAACTCTGCGCGTGTCCATGCGCGGCTACATGGAAATGGGAGGCTGGTATAAATAAACAGCGGCTTCCTGCTTTCCGAACAAATCCAGCTAAAAGCTTGTGTGAAATTTCGAAGCATATTAAATCATTAAACATCGAAACATACGAGTGATGCGATTACGTCAAAAAAAAAAAAAAAAAAAAAAAAGAAAGAAAAAAGAAGAAAAAAAAACACGCTGAAAATCATGCTGGACTCGTGTTTCTATAAATTATTTCCTGTCGCGTTTTCACGTTTCAATGGTTACAGATCGAATACCCGATCCTCGTTTATTCGAGTGAATTCATAATGGCGGATAATGATGGAATCAAATTTTATATATGAACCTAGGAATTTAAATCCAACGAAATCGAACACGAAGTTAAATCCAATACGAATGGTTCGATAGGATTCAATTGTTATTCATAAGAGCTGATGTTTCATTTTCTGTACTCTTAACCTATAAAATACACGGTACAAGTTTCCTCTCTGAAGTGTCGGATTGTCACAGATTTAATTTCTCTCGAGAGACTCGAACAAATTTTTAAACCCGAATCGTTCTTATTTGAATTTATATACTCTAATTAAATAACTAAGTTTAGAATTGTATTTAAAAAAAAAAAATTATAGAGAAATCAAAAGTTGTATTATAATTTCGTTGAATTTTGGATGTTGTAGAAATTAATGTAAAAATATTGTTACACATGTATAACTTTTTTTTTTGGTGTGTTTTAAGTTCAAAATTTAAAATACATTTCATCCATGAATATTAAAAACGATAGAAGAATACAAATGGAATTTTTATCGAGAGACTTACGTGATTCCAACAGCATCCGCAAAAACTGGTCGATCGTTTCGAAGCACGCGTGACAACACTACGATTTACGTGTTCCCCGAAGTGACAGGTTCTCTTTGTTCTTCGTTTGCGTACCTTAATAGGTACGCCGTACATATAGTCGCTGAAACGACGTCGCGAATGACGCACGATAGACACCCAATCGATCATTGTGTCACTCTGTTTGATCCCGTTCTACGTTTATTCACGTTCACTTTGCACGAGAACTTATAAATTTGTTTCTCTCCATTTTTAATCTTCGACCAATCTTTTTCAATCCATCTTCGATAAACAATTACAACATTAAATGTATATTATAAGATTGAATTCCGATATCGGAATCTGTTCAAAATTCCACTAAAATTTGCAATGATTTAACTTTGTTTCGCTTCTGTGAAAAATTTAATTTTATTCCTTCGTATTATTTCACATTACTCCACTATTTTTACTCCACTATGGAATTTTCGAATTTTCATTCGTAACGAGACACTTTCGACACGTTTTTCACAATTAATCATTGTATAATTATTGCTCGTAAAAAACAGGAAAAAAATCAGAAGAATAGTCTTTCCTGTCGTTTCAACGAACGTCGTTTCACGACAAATATTCGCGTTCAACTATCGGTTTGAAACACTCGTCCACGGTAAGTCTGTTTTCCTGTAGGATCGTGGAACAAACTAAGAAAAGGGTATCGGGTCGAGAGGAATCCCGATCGAAAGGAACTCGATGAAAGCTTGGTAAGAATAGGTAGGAAAGTAGTTCTCGTAAGAAGTCTCGCTTTGAGGGATGAATAGTGGCTGGTGCAGCAGCTCTTTCGACGATCCCGCGGATGGTACGCGGCCAGATAAAGAAGTTGCGCCAAGTGAAAAATGAAATTTAAAGGGTGGCTGGGCCCCGATCGGGACGTTTGAAAGGCTCGGCGTTAATGCAAGAAAAATGTTCCGTGTATTTCATTCGTGTAAATCGAGGAAATCGTTTCGAGCGTTATCGTAGAATTCGTTGTGCGACGTAGAAGGATTATTCTTAGCGGTTGTGTTCGAAACATGTTGGAACAACAGAAGACAATGTTTGATCCGTTTTATTTAACGAAGGACAAGCTTGTTTTACTATAAGCCAGGTACGAGGGAAAAGTTCAAAGCTTTTAAAACGTTTAAACACATTTCCAAGAATATCAAATAGCATCGTTAAATTGTTTACAAGAGAATATCACGAACCACGGACAAAATGCCGTCGTAAACGTTTCGACGCAATTATTCGATCCTTTTATTCGATTATGGATCCATATCATCACGTACACGGAAGCTAAGTAAAAATATATATATATATATATAAAGAGGTTTTCTACGTTTGAACGAAGATCACGTGCTCGATTTCATTGTTTTCGTTGTAGTTTGGCTTGGCTGGAAATAATGATTCCTCGAAGAGGAACGACTGACATCACCCACGGACGTCAGCTTATTTTCCTTAGCCCGAAGTTTTGAGAAACTACTGTTTCTCGGGCGTACGTTTTATCTCAACCTCCTTAAACAACTGATCTCTCACCATAGGGTTTTTCTTCCAAGAAAAACAAGAGAGTCTGGCAAGGTCGGCTATTCGTGTCAATTAATAGATCCCGATTTTCTGATTCCTGGCATCAGTATCCACGTGTTCCTTATCTTCATTGATCAACGACCACTTCTTCGACGAGATAATTCTCTGTTCCACTCGAAGTGAATCTTCTTTCGAAAACAATACATAAATTCACATCATCGAACAACGTAATAATTCAGTAGAAACTTCCACATGTTCCACGCGTGTATGCGAACAGTATTCTACTACTATCATTCACCGTTCACAAAATTTCGTTTTCGTCGAACACAAGACTCCCCGTGCACGCGAAAACAAGGGACAATTGTTGTTACGCCTCGATCGAGAGAAAGTAGAAGAGGATTACTATTCACGGCAGAATAAAATTGGACATTGGAAACAAAATTAACGAATTCGACGAAAGAGGACGGGAAGAGCGACGACACGTCGTGTACGAACCTCGAAGGGATGGACGTCAATGTCGGTACTGGCGTTAGAGCTTCTCGACGTTGGTGGTCGCCACGTTTCGGCGCTCCTACCAACGCGTCCTGATCTAATTCCGACACGCTTCTTTCCATCGAACGTTCGACTATAACACGATCTTACCACCGTTCAATCCGTGTTCAACGAGCGTGCTTTCTCGTTTGCAACCGTGATAATGGATTAATCCCATTTTCCACGTGAATGAGCTCACGCGTGCCGAGACCTTTCTCAGCTTTCTGATTCCTCAGTTTCGATCCATTTCAAACTTTGGATTCTCGTCTGCGTTTCGTTCAAAATGAATCTAAAGTGACCAATGAGTAAAGTAGTCTGTTGTCTTTTGACGAATTGCACAGATGATTGATTTATCCGTAGTGAAATAATAAATTCGAAACTCCCCCTCTTTCTTTCATCGACATTTAGAAAATTATTTATTTTTGAATGAATTGAACTGGTGTAAATACATTCTCATCGACAGAAATTTTAAACTACAACTTTTATATTTCTATGTCTATAATGATGATAAAGAAGTATATCTACCATGGATCGTAGTTAATACTGGAGATTATTTTTTCTAAAATTTTATTCGAATTATTTAATATACTACACTCTTTAGCTCAAGGTAATGTTTGTCAATGAAGTTATCGACAAAATATATTTTGTATTGGTATTTCAAAAAAAAGATGTCGTAAATATTCCTAGAACAATGAAAACGTGAATCAGAAAATCTCCAACGAACGAAAATTTACATATCAGTCGGTTAATTAAAGTTCGCGCGATTATTCGATGACATAGAGACGAGCAACGGTTATGTTTACAATCTGTGCGCCTGAAACGTCGCTATTATTTCATTAACCTCCTTTCCGCGCAGATGTAATTTCGACACGAAACGTTCCGGACATAAGGCACAATTATCGTAGACGGATTCGTCTCGTTCTGGCTTTCGGCACGATTCGAGAATTGATGGGTTGTGTGGAATAACGGTGGATTTATCGTTTCGATTAAAATCTTTAAAATGTAAAAAGCTGATTGATTTGGAAATAGAATAACAAACAAAATTATATTTATATTCAACGTTAAAATTAAAATATATATGTATAAAATATTGGATAGTTATTTAGAATTTTCTAAAAAAAGAAAAAAGAAAAATCTTATGATTTAGTAATTATAATAATTTTTGAAATTTTTTTCTTCTGTTAAAGGAACGGCTGTGGGAAAAAATTGATACGTTTCGAATACCCAGAAATAATCAGGATCAAAGGAGTACTAATTATACGATTGTCCTTTATCAATTCAATTCAGATTAATCAGTTCAATGAAATCAAATGGAATATATTATATCTAGTTTCCACACTTTATTTGCAAATACGGTAACCGCCTAATAGAATTGATAATGCAGTCACGCTGATTTCTGGCATAATTTACAAATTTGTCTCGCCGCAAGCGAGCCTATTATTGCTCTATGTTTAATCGTTGACTTTGTGCTCTCCGCTAATCGGCGAAATGACGTGTAAAATCGAAGCGAGTTTCAATCCGTGTTCACAGACGGAATGATAAGTAAATGAAATTATCGCCTATGTCGTTTCTCGTTTGTTTTTGTACGCGTTATCTGTGTATCTCCATCGTGTTTCTCATCTCCTAAAAAGAGAGAGAGAGAGAGAGAGAGAGAGAGAGAGAGAGAGAAATTGGCTTTTATCGTACCGTCAACTTTTCGAAATGAATTCCATTATACGAAATATTCGTGGACGCACAATAAAATCTATTCTAAGAGAATGCGGATCTCGGAAGGAAATAAGCAGAAGGATTGCCAGGATAAATGCATCTCTCTTTTTTTCCGCTCTGTTCGTCGCGGAAATGAGAAAACGAAAAGAGGGAAGAACGTCGGAAACTGGAAAATTATAGTTCGTGATGCAAAATAGATTAATTTCTGTTTTTGTCGTGGAAAAGTCCATTACGAGCGGCACCAAAAAAAAAACAAAAAAAATTGTGTAATGTCTCGACTAAGAAATTTCATTTATTAACAGGAGTATTTTTGATCAACTATTTGATTTCGCGAATTTAAACATTTTTTTATGTAAAAACGGAAATATAGAAGAGTAGAAGATTAATAAGAAAATATCGACAGTCACTAATTGATCGACCAGCATTTTGTAGCTAATGTTGCGGAGGAATTACATGGGAGAAACACGTCGATAAAATAGGAAACGTTGCAGTTATAGCGCAAGAGAAGAAACTTGAGATTTCCTTATTGCCAACCGAGTCTCGATGATTCGATTCACAATCGATTAAATTAAAATATCGTTGAATATATTAAAAAAAATTTATTTTTCTACATACAGTTTAATTTTTTAAAAATATCTTTTTACATTTAGATTTTTGAAATTAAATGGGAACACAAACGATACAATTGTTAAAACATAATTAGTTAGTATCCCTCAGCAACAGTTTTTGAACAACGTCATTCTCTCAGTACAAGTTAAGAACAAGAACAAGATCGAAAATTAATTCTGACACGACATTATTTACAATCTTACGAACCTGAGTTTCGTCTACGTGGTCTGGAGCCTCTGGACTGGCCGACTTACGGCCATAAATGTTCGACAGAGTCTGGTTCACCGGGAAGTCTGGACCACCCTGCAATAACCACACGATCTAAAAACATCTCTACATGTTCTTTCAATAAGAAAACGATAAGTACTTCCGGTAAACTCTGTACATTTTATTTCAACAAACAAACGCTGTTAAAGCATCGTATACGATACACACATGAATATTCATATCAAAACTGCATCATTTAACAAATTCAAAATTCGTAATTAACATAATCAATATCCTTTCTCCCGACAACCGCAATCATCGTTCTAATAGCGGATTAAACATGCATAAAATAATAGATTTCGAAAAGCCCTTGTTGTTGTACAGTTTGGAGATCGATAAACCAGACATCTACAACGTTAGAACCCCTTCTCTACGGTTCTACGGTCCACGCTTTCTACGCTCCAGATAAATCAATTACAACTTGGAAACAAGGAGAAATTCAATACGCCCCTAATTTAGGATGTCCTCTTTCTGATCACGATCGCAATCCCCCCTTCCTCCCCCCTCCCCCTCCCCCTCCCCCTCCCCCCTCCTCTATCTTTCTCTATTCCAAATATTCCAAATATTCCCATTGAATTCGTGATACATAAGTCGTGCATGAGCAAATAAATTCGAGTCGAGTAAATCTCCATGATTTAATTTCCAATTCAAGAATTAAACCTTAACTCGATATCTGGACTGGCAATTTAAACTTCTTGTTTTCATCTATCTTTGTCGCGTTTCCAGCCGTTCGACGTTCGGTTCGATCATTTGGTCCAGAGAGTGGTACAGTTGGACCAGGCTTGGAAGGCGGGCAAATAAATAGTACCGGCGAGACGCAAAGTCAATTATCGTTGAACGGAAGTTGATGGAAGTTCCGCCGGTACGCGTATTGCAACCGCGTTAAACGAGCCAAACAGAATTATTCATGGTGAATTTTCGATGCGCAGGTGTGTTTAACATCCCGCGCCACTTTTCCTCGATCCGGCCTATTCGTGCACGTTGCACCCTTTATTAAATATACACTATTACCCCTATCCAGTCCTCGTTTGCGCCGACTGTTTGTTCAGCTTCGCGTCAGAGAACGTCAAACTCGATAATAGATATTGTACGTTGCTCACGCGTCAATAAACCTCGTCAAGATTTTCTTTTACAATGCTGCTGCTGCTGCTGCTGCTGCTATATCGCGAGATAAAATTGAAAATAAACTTTTCTAATTTTGAAATCAACGACGAGTTTATTTCATTGCTTAATATTAGGATCGAAGTTTATCTTTCGGAAAATTATGCATCGATATTCATTCTCGAAGCTATTCAATTTAATATCGATCCACTTTAAAGTTAAATAAGATTGATCGATTTTTATATCGAGATTATCTCAAGATAAACATTGGAAAATTGTTAATATATGTTCCTATTATAAAACAAAAAAATTGTCTTTACCTTTTTTATTTTTCTTCGCAGTTTCGCTGTTATAAATTCTCTATTTCGATTTCCTCCCTTCTTCTTTTTGTTGCTTAATTAATCGCGAATTGCACCAGAAATGAAACCTTTTTAAACGCAAAGGAGGACGAGTGTAAAAACCGAGGGAAAGGAATTTTCGCCGATGCGACGAGCGATAAAATGGAATTGTCTGAAGAATAAAAGGAACTCGGATCGATTTATCGCGTGGAAAGAAAATGTAAACGAAATACCACTTTCTGGATGTCGATCGAGAGGAAAACGTCAAACTTCGGAATACGCGTTTGACGTAGCGTGACGGTTTCAGGAAAAGTATCGAAGAGTTGCCACGATTCTCTGTGCACGTTACAATATATTTATATTATATTTATACGAACGGAATGAACGCGCGGCAACGATATATTTGAATCACGATTATTCACGCGTGCAAATTGAAAGAAAATACGAGGACCACGGCTGAATAAAACACGCCCGGTTATTTTTCCAATTTACCAGATATAAAACCATTTTTGCGCTCCCCGGATCAATTTACAAACTGAAATTACCGATGAAATATTAGCTACACGCGCCAGGTCACTGGTGGCCATCATGACGACATCGTTTATGCATTCCATGATATTCGTGCGACGATCCTTTGTCATCCTGCATTACAATCTATTACAATCTATTACAATAAAGAGCCTAGGGGACAGTAAAGAACAAGAGACAGTAATTCGAATTAAGTAAGCCACTTAAGATTTTACAACTCGTATTATTGTACAAAAAAGAAGGCGTGTTTAATAATTTAGATAAAAATATCTAACCTACTTTTACGAACGTGCAGAATCGAATAACCAATTATATTTTCAATATCAAGAATATATATATATATTGCATTCTTCGATAATTGATCGATTAGCGATTAAGACTTGCAATTAAGTCTTCGACTGCGTATCGGGGGGATACTTTTGAATCGAAGTTTTCGAGCCAGGGGTAGAAGTATTGTTCCCAGACAAGAGTTTTCGCCTCTAAATTTATCTTGTGCGGCGGCGAAAGTTTCGCGGTGCCTTCATTTCGATGCATCCCGAAGAGTTCCCTTCCCGATCTCGGGACTTGAAACAGTGGCGCGCCGCTACGTTTGCCGAAGACTCGAGACTCGGTCTCATCTTCGGATAAACGAACTCGACGCACAAGTGCCTTTTCAATTCGTCTTGCCCTGCCCCGGCTATATACGGAATCACGCGTGTTTTCTCTCGAGCGGAACCGTTCCCGGGTATCTCAGGCCGAAAATAATCAACGAGATAGAGGCGGAGAACAATAAAGTTTCCTTACGAAGCTGCCTCTCAACGTTATCGAGTGGAATATCGAGTGGAGGGGAGAGGGATGCGAATATTTCGAAAAATATTCCAAATTTTTAGAATTGCGGCGTGCAATATTCTAGAGCACTTGCGTTCCATCTACTTGTTACTTTTTTTACTTTAATAGGGTTTAATGGAGTTTCAGGATAAATTATCAGAATAGTTTTCGTTGAAATTCTTCAAATTGGTTCTCGATCTACATACGTTCATTTCGTCGAATTTCGATCTATTCACGCTCTTCACGGTACAGTGTTTACGAGTGATGACGGTTTGGCCGTAACTACTTGCGTTTTGACGCTTACCCGTATTCGGTCCAGTATCCACCGACTCCAGGAGCCCCATCTAGGAGCTTATAGAAGTTTAACAGGCGCGACGAGTTCCCGCAGCAGTTGAATGTTGCCAATAATTTTCGTTTCTCTCGATTCGACCCTTCCAATCGTTGGCCCCTTGTTGGAGATTCGATGGACCATAGAGAGGCTTTCGAGTTGGCGTGTAAGTAAGCGTGGCGGAAACGCGGCAAAGGTTGATCGATCCTCGCCACGATATATTATCGAATTGTTCTCTTGTGGAAGATTCGATTCCACGCCGGGAATACGAGACGAGAAATTCAACTCGATGGCCAATTCCAAGTTTTATCGATCGTCTCGAACGGTTGCAAAGTATACACGAAACATGGGAATACTTGAACTTTCAATTACTTCATAGTTTGACCTCGTACAGTTACATTTTTCATCGCGACAACGTGCTCGCTACGAACTCTTTTTTATCGAGAGAAAGAGAGAGAGAGAGAGAAAGAGAGAGAAGAGAATGGATATACGTTACATGTATGAGATCGAGGAAAAAGGATTTTGGTATTTTGATATCGAACTGTTTGATCGGTGAAAATGGAATTTTCAGAGACGAGAATGGAACGATTTTAAAAATACACAGTCAAAACCGGAACGGAGGGAATTTCTTCTTTATCAACGTTTTTATAAATTCCACCATAAAATTCGAATTTATGTAACACGTTACAAATTGGATAAACGTTTGTCTGTTTCAAAATGAAACCTTCTATAAACATCACACACATATATCTTGCAATGCTGAAAAATCTTAGCATGAAGGATAAAAAAGATATTTTATCGAAAGAGATATCTTATAATATTTAACATATTCTGAAAGAGAATTTAACGATTTGCACATAATTGAAAGCTCTAAATATCGCTCGAGATGCGCTTAAGCTTCCAAAGCTTATAAAAAAATCTCATCTGTGCGCATATCTTCTATATTCCCTCCTCGACAACGATTGATATTTTTTTTTTTTTTGTAGTCCTAGCTCAAAGATGGCGCTCAATTGGAAGCTCGTCGTTGAGAGTTGAGCGAGGATCGTCTCGCAATAAAATCTGTGAATTCAGAGAGGACTTGGTGAAAAGACGTCGATGATGATCGAATACTCGCGTTCCGCGGTGACGCAGAGCAATTTTATTCCTCGATACCAATCCTTTTGCCCCACCAAAACGTCCTTTCGTCATTCGATGCAAGTTGGCGCGATCGTAGGTGAATCACGCAAAGCTCTTTCCAACGGATGGAAACGGATACTTCCGGTTGAAACGAATCGATGCTTCGTGGCACGTACTTCTTCGTAGCCTCCAGGCGATGAACGTGTATGTGTGTGTATATATATATATATATATATATATCCAGTTCGAAAACTCGATCCTTGACTGATCGAGAATTTCGACAGTCGATCATTTGAAATTCTCGTGTGTGCTATGAGGATGATTTTCGAAGAATATAAGAGAGATGAATTCGAGATCAAGCGATATTATTAAAGGAGGAACAATCGGAATGGTTATTTTTATCCTCTGTCATTTTCTCGATAATTTAATCGATTCAATAATAAAATTTTACGCAAGCCAATTGAATCGCCGATTGGAAATTGAAGGAACCGATAACGCGTGTTTAACTACTGGCAAATTACAATTTGCTGAGTCTGGCTAGGGACCAATTCTACTAGATCTATTATATCGATGCATAATTAATGCCTCGGCGCAGTTGCCGATAATATTCATCGATAGCAAATAATTTCAGTAGCAGAGAATTATGATGTTTTGGAATATATATTTCCAATATATCTTGAACATGTTATATATCGGAAGGCATAATCAAAAACAATTTTCGAACGAATAATTCATTAAATTCCTATCCTTTAACGTCCAACAAATTTTTTCACGTTCCAAAAAAAAAAAAAAAAAAAGAAATGCGTGGAAAATATTTT